AAGGCCTAAAAGATGAAATTAAAAAGGGGTGTGGGTGGTCGGCCCAGAGTTTGGAACTACAGTCAAACCCCGTTATAACGAACCCTCAACAGACCAACTCAGAAGTTCGTTTTAACCGAGGTTCGCTGTATCCGTATTTTCAAAAAAAATGTCCCAACATGATAAGATACTACTTCTATAATAAACTTTTTAATAACATAATATTTTCATTAGTAATTAGGGACAAATAAAGTATTAAATAATGTACTCAATAATAAAGAAACTAAACATTCATGTTTTTTTACTTATTTGCTAATCCATTACATTGAAAAAAGATGTTATTTTTGGTTGAAAAGTTTTCGATTTTATATACAACTCGTCAGTTTGTTTAGCCACTATTTTAAACAGGTCCACAACATGTTCGTAGATGTTTTCTGTGGCAAAAAAAATTGTTCAAAACGTTTGTAGCTGCTTTGGCATCTGCAATTGAAGGCCCTGGTTCGTCTTGCTCTTCCTCCATATCTGAAGACGAATCTAAAATAGAGTTGTTCTTTTTCATTTACAAATGCCACGATATCTTCCTCACTCACTTCTCCAGCTGATTAGAAAGTCCCCCCTCCTTCCATGGTTGACAACCAGACAAGGGGTCCACGGGGGGAGGAGGGGAGATAGAAAGTGTAAAGCGCCTTGCCTATTATTTCTTTGTCCCACTTATGGGGTTAGCAGCAACTCTAACAAAGGTACAATAGGCCAGGAATGTGGTCTCTTTACCAGAGTATTTCATGCAAAAGGGGTAACTCTTGTAGAAGTTGGGTTGACTTGAGCACAATTAGTAAAGAATGTCCCTTTGGGCAAGTAAAAGTTTGACGTTGTAGAAATTTTCAGTTCGCTGTAACCGAGTCTCTAGTGTTTGCTGTTCGTCGTAAACGTATGAAAATACATTATTAACATAGAGATTCAGTTGGGACCAAGTGAAAGGTTCGCTGTAACCGTTCGTTATATTCCGGGTTCGTTATATCGAAGTTCGACTGTATTGATACTGGCATCTTTCCCACTGTCCAGTGGGTCCTCGCTTTCGGAAGTAGGGCCACATCCCAACCGCGGGAATTTATTTTCTGTTGCAATTTCTTGTGTCACATTGGGAAACAGGCCCTTGATGAGTCTACAGGTTCTTCGTGGCTGTGTTAGGAGAGAGAAAGAGATAATATAAATAAAACGACAAAAAGTTAAAAAAAAGGGAAAAGAGTTAAGAAAAAATATATAAATAAATAAATGGATAAATAAAAAGAAATAAAATAATGAAAAAGGTAGTGTCAGATAGGAAGATCTGGGAGGCCACGCGAGTGGAAAGGGTTGACTGATAAAACGATCCTCCTCAAATGTTGAGCGCAGCAGGCGTTGCACAGGCGCAGCGATATACGGTATGCTTCCATCTTACAAAAAAGTGATTATATGCAGTACCTTGTGACGTCTCCATTACCTTGTTCCCACGACAGCGGACCACACAACAAAAACCCCGTAGAGAAGAGAGGAAAGTAAAAAGAGTCGTAAAAAGAGTCATAAAACGGAGTCGTGAAAACGACCCGGTCTTACGTAAACCCAGAGTGGTTCAGGGAGTGAACGCGGTATCGTTTGAGTGGCCCACAC